CGGCGCTGCCTCCCCGGGCCGGCCGCTCCGCGCCTGCTGCCACCGGGCCAGCTGCTGGCTGTCCCGAGCGCTGCGAGCCCGCGCGCTGCGCCCCGCCGCCCGACAACTGCGAAGGTGGTCGTGTCCGAGACGCGTGCGGCTGCTGCGAGGTGTGTGGCGCCCCCGAGGGCGCCGCGTGCGGCTTGCAGGAGGGCCCTTGCGGCGAGGGGCTGCAGTGTGTGGTGTCCTTCGGGGTGCCCGCCTCGGCCACCGTGCGCCGGCGGTCGCAGGCCGGGCTCTGTGTGTGTGCCAGCAGCGAGCCGGTGTGCGGCAGCGACGCCAAAACCTACGCCAACCTGTGCCAGCTGCGCGCTGCCAGCCGTCGCTCCGAGAGGCTGCCCCAGCCGCCGGTCATCGTCCTACAGCGCGGCGCCTGCGGACAAGGTACCCCTCCCGCCCTGCGCTACCGGGCAGCTCCCCCGTCCCTCCTTTCCACCCTGGCCCTCCCCGCGGGATAAATGGGCCAGCCGAGGGGCAACGGAGCGTTGTAGGGTGTTCAGGGCGCCCGCTCGCCAAGAGAGGTGGGTAGGGCTCTGGGGTGGCAGCATTCCACGGGCTCCCTCGGAAGCGAGCGCTGCGCCCGGCCCGGGGTTGGTCGGCGCCTGGCGTGTTCTCAGCGCGCTCTGCCCGGCAGCCTCGGGCCAGGGTGACAAGGCATCCCGTCCAGTGGCCTGCCGCTGGATGCCCTGCGCGGAACCACAGCACCCAGGACCCCTGGAAAAAATACAGGAGTGTAAACATAAGGAGGGGAAAGTTGAGGACTGAGCAGCTTTGGGACCACAAGAACTTATTTCGGTTGGTTCCCTCCTTGTATTCTCTGCTCCTCTCCTAGCTTTGAAATCACCCATGCAGCAATTTTTTCATGGCTCCTCTCAGTGAAAAGTTTAACTTTTTTTGGGAAAGAAACAGCGTTGCCCGTAGTTTCCCCAGATGATCTCCCCCGGGAAGGACTGTGTTAGTCCCACTGACGTTTCAGCACTGTCACTGCCTGTCTTGCTTGTTTTGAGCCAAAAAAAAAAAAAAAAAAAAAAAAAAAAAGTGAAAGCTGCTTCTTTTGAATAAACTAAACTCCAGCGCTGGATCAGAAATCTGCAGAGCCAGAGGCAGGATGGGCTAGGGATGAGGAGGAAAATGACCGGCTCTCCCTCATTCAGCTTGTCTGTATCCAGACCCCTTCTGACCCAGGAGGTGTGTGTGGGGGGGGCAGGGAGGACAGTGGAGAAATGCCTGTCCTAACTTTAGGGAGAGATGCTGTGTCTCCATGAAGAGATGCCATGTGGAAAAACAATACAGAGTTCAGCCCCAGCCAGTACAGTGGAGTGGGGACTGGCCAGCTGGGCTTGGCAGTGCACTTGGCCTCAGCCACCGGGTTGCTGCCCAGACCTGGTGTCACCTTCTCAGTGCATGCATGTGGAGAGAGGGATGGGAGCATGCAGGACCGAGGGTCTAGACTGTTCTTTATAGGAGCATGACCACCTGGCACAGCATGGCTCACAGGGAGAGGAGGGTGCCAGAGTGGTACAGGGAGTGGCCAGAGGATGTGCATCCAGTAACACGGGAGCACAGAGCCCAACCTCAGCCCTCAGGAAACTCAGCTTCTTTAAGGAGAGGAGAATTATTTCAGAGACAGGTGATCTGAGGGCCAGGGAGGGGCGTGGAGAAGGTGCACCTTCGGAGTGCAAGTCCATTGCCAGGTGAGTCGCCCCAAGGCTTTCAGTCTTGATAGCCTCTCCCGAGGAAGCTTCTGCCTCCCCCTCCTGTTTTACACAAGTGAGGCGGAGGTTGAATCACCTCTCCAAGGGCACTCAGCTGAAATCTGAACCCAGAGAGCCTTCTCCAGAGCCAGCCTTAGGGCCACATCAGAGCCCTGGGAGGGGGTTTTCCAGGAGGAAGGGATCCAGGGGTGCTCCCTACATCTGGGGCGTGGAGCAGCCTGAGCAGAGCCATAGTTTTGTTTGGGAAGTGGGGAATGGATCGGGTTGTGGGCATTTGGGGAGGGCCAGGAATGATCCCGGCTGGGTGATCAGAGTCCCTGGATGGAGGAAGAGGGACCGTGTCATGTACAATGACGTTCTTGGCAGCTCAGAGAAAGCCTGGCGGGGGACTAGCCTAGTGGAGGAGTGAGAATACCAGAGGGTGAGGAGTTTGGGCCCCTGCCAGAACCTGAGTGTGTAGTGACAACGTTAGGAAAGCGTATTTTGGTCAAAACAAGGCAGCCGTTACTGTTTGTAGTCTGGCTGCACGGGGTCCTGAGTTACTTTCACCATGTGAACCGCCTAATTTATGGCCACTGAAGCCGAGTCACTTAACGAGCTCTGGAGTTGGCAGAGTCCAAATACTTGTTTGGTTGAGCTGCCTCTGGAGAGAAACAGGTCCCTCATTGGCCCTCTGTATACCAGCGGTTCTCCAATGCACTAGGGTGGGGACAGACACAGAAGAATGAGCTTGGAGGGAGACAGAAGGGGTGCAACACTGGCCTCATCCATCCCTCCTACTTTTGCAAATATTTATTGAGTTTGTAACATGTCCGACACTGTTTGTGTGTCTGTCTGCCTGGCACATAGAAAGCACCCAATCCATACGTGGGTGGATGAATGAGTGGATGGATGAATGAATGAGTGCGTAAATAGGAAGTGCTGGAGACCCGTAGCCATCCTATTGCTAGTGGAAGGCGTTGCTTTGCTCTGCCCCTTGCTCCCCATCTGACACTCTGCCCTAACTTCCCAGAGTTATTTCCAGGACAGGAGCCTGGGTGCCAATGACCTTTGTTCAGCCCAAGCCCTGCTCCAGCTCTCTGCATCTGGTGCCCAGGGTAGGTCAGTTGACATCGTAGTGAATGAGGAGAGTTGGCCGCCTGTTCTGGTGCAAGGGTTGCCGGAGTGCAGCTCTAGATGGGTGGACACAGAGGACTTTAGGGAGGTGCTGTTTGGGTAGAAGATGGGGCAGGGTGGGGAGCACTCTGCCGTAAGGGTGGTCCAGGATCACAGGAATTCAAAGGAGGGTTTGTTTGGGCCGTGTGTGGCGAAAGATGGGGGGATGCTGTCAGAGGAGAGGTCCTTGGGCAGGGGAGCCATCCATTGGAGTCCTGGTGGCCCTTTGGGTGGAGGAAGTGTCACCATTCAAAATAAAGCACTTTTGTCTGTGAATTATTTAATGAAGACCTCAGAGAACATCTCTAATTATGGAATTGGAAATGAAGGCAAACCATCAATTTCAGAGCTCATCGCTGCTGGCAGGGTCTCCTTGGAAAACTATAGTTATAGCAGAGAACAGGCATTTGTCATGTGCTACGGTGGTTAGGAAAGTACAGGGAAAAGGTAGAACTGCAATTAAGAATAGGATAATAATAATAAGGGCTCATGTACAGCTTGTGCTTCTTTTGCTCTGGGCATTTATTTATCGACTCTTCATCCTCCTAACAATGGTTTTGCTATACTCTCCCCTGTCACAGCTGGGTGACAATCACATAGCAGTGCCTTTTCTTGCACTTGGACCCATGCTTCTGGTTCCAGAGCTCTGTTCATAACCCCCACTCTGTGCTGTCGACAGAGCAGCAGCGATTATAAGCCAACTGCAGCTAAGCCACAGCTAAGAGCTGAGATAAACAGTGTTCCAGATGGCTGTGGCCTTAAGCAGGACAGATCCCAGCTCTCCCTCTGCAGGCGCAGGATTTTGAGGACAAGGTTTTCTTCAGTTGCCATCCTTGTAGCCCTGCCAAGGAGAAGCAAACTAGAAGGGGCAGTAGTTAAATCATTTCCAAACTAGAGTCCCAGACCCCAAGCTGCTCTTGAGAGAAAAAGGCCCTTCTGGATCCCTGGAGATTCCAAAAGATGAGCCAGGACTGTGTGGCACTGCATGTCTCTGCTAAGTGGACGAGAAGCCAGGAAGGAGCTCCAAAAAAGACTCCCCAGACCGTAGAAGCCCAGGTCATTTCCCCTCTTAGTACACAGTCCAGACAAGCCCACCTTATCCCCAATGGTGGCCCCGATGAGCCTAGAGTCTCCAAGCCTCAGGCAGGAGGAGGATGCCCAGGGGATCCCCTGCACTGGAGGTTCTCAGGACTTGCCGGGTCCTGGACTCGCCCCAGAGCCTCTGAAGTTGGGGGTCACAGAATAGAGAGTTGCTTTATTTCTCCAAGGCTCGCACCATTTGTAGACTCTATTTAAGTGGTTCTTTTATGGGTTCCTTGAACCTTAATCATTGTTATTTGAGGACTAGACACTTTGCTGAACGTGGGGGAGACATCGTGGAACAAAGCCCCTGCCCTGGAGGCTTAGGCTTGACACAGTCGGGGAGGTACCAGCCTCCATCACCACAAGTGCAGCACCTGCTGGAGGGTCATTTCCAGCATCTGCACTTCAAACACACCTTTTGCCGTTTAAGAAATAAGCATGCAAGGGCCAAGGCTTCATTTTAGGGCAGGGTTGGTAGAAAGCTTTGAGTTTCCAGGTTCCTTTGAAACTTAGAAGTTTCCTTTGAAACTTAGAAATTTTGATGTGAAAGACTTTGCTCACTGTGGTTGCTTATCTACTTTTATTGCTCTGATGGTTTTACTAAAGAGTTAAAAACTATTAAGTGTTCATAAAATTAGTAAGCTAACAGGATCAAAAGCCAAACATTTGATTTACTTCATTCTGTCCAGGAGAGCTGTAAATAGTTGCATTGGAGCTTAAAATAACTGCAGTCTGTAGGTGATTATGGCCGGACCATGAGCTCACGGTGGCCAGACAGCCTCAGCACAGCGGGGCTGGATTCTGAGTAGGTTTGGAGTTTCGTGATCCTGGACAAGTTTTGTGCCTTGGATTCAGAAATCAGACTTTCCATGAGCTTATATTTCTAGTGAATAAATAGCTCTGGTTAAGTTTAATGAGAAGGAGAAATCAAGCTTGGCAGGGGTTGAGGTTCCTTGGAAGACCAGCTGGGATGGCAGGGCCCAAGGGCTGACACCTGGCCCTGGCCTCTGTGGGCGGTTACCTGACCGATGACCAGCTCCTCCTTCTGAGCTCTCAGCAAGGAGAGGACTGGACCAGCTGATCTCTGAGGTCCCTTCTAGCTAGAATGGCCTGTGCTTCTTGTAAGAAAATCAGTCTCAGAGGAGATCGGAGCCCCAGCCTTTCTATTTTGAAGGCTGAGTGCGTTGCCCAAAGAGTTACTCCGTTTTTGAAAATTGCAACTGTCAAAGCCAAGGTTGGCACTGAATGGATGTGACCCATCTAGAGCCTGGTTGTCCTGAACTTTGGTTCTGTGCTAGCTGCTGGAAGTCCCTGGGAGACTGTGGGTCACATGTCTACCCCCAAGAACCTGAGGCTCTGGGGCCTGGGGCTGGACTGCCTCTGGTCCTCTGGAGTGAGTCTCCTTCTGAGCCAGCATGGCTTGTCTTTTTC